TATCTCTTTTTGTTCTGGTACTTACAAACATCGGACCAAAGTTATAATACCATTTCATGCTCATGAAAGGTATAAGAAAAAACATATCAGATTCCCCAATTATGGGATTTACTGCGGCCTTGCGCAACAATGCAACTCTACCCCTAACCAAGATACATGCAGGTAGGTTCAGACATAATTCCAAGTCGACGCCGTAGATTTTGGGAGCATATACTACGAACTGTTAAAACCTGGGGAAACTATCATGTATGTATATTTACTTAAGCGAATAAATTTTTTACATCAAAGATTTTTATAATGGCTGCATTTCTTTATTCATTCTGAACGTTTGGAATAAACTTTTTTGTTTACTTATTCTTTAGAACGTTCCTGATGATATGTTAACGTATACTTCAAAGGCATTCTGTTTATTCCGGACGAGAAATGGGATTATCCGGAATGTATAAAGAAACGCAGCCAATATATTTTCTGGGAAGTAGAAAAATTGGAAAGTATTTTATGTACAGATATGTAAACAAAACTACTAAGTATTTNATGCTATGCTAGGACTTTAGATATGGACAGTAGGGAAATAAAGACAAATCGATTACTGAGTGGAAGATCGACCTATCTCGACAGCCAGTTCGTAAACGCCCTATCTCAAAAAACTTTTCAAGAGCCCTTCGACCGATGGAACTGAATCGGCGTTATGCTTAAGTATACCATGCAAGAAGACGGTATATTTAAAAAGAAAAAAAAAACATATCAGATTCCCCAACTATGGGATTTACTGCAGCCTTGCGCAACAATGCAACTCTACCCCTAACCAAGATACATGCAGGTAGGTTCACTGTGGCAGACATAATTCCAAGTCGACGCCGTAGATTTTGGGAGCTTATACTACGAGCTGTTAAAACCTGGAGAAACTATCATGTATGTATATTTACTTAAGCGAATCAATTTTTTACATCAAAGATTTTTATAATATATTTTCTGGGAAGTAGAAAAATTGGAAAGTACAGATATGTAAACAAAACTACTAAGTATCTTATTTTTTCTATCGGTTTCCAAATATTTCTTTTTTTGCTTTTCTCTTATCAAAAGAGTTTTAAATGTGTACTATTTTTTTCTTTTTGTATAAAAACAAAATCTCATCTAAATTTGTAGTATTAGTAACGGGCTTTTTCGTGCTTATTCGCGCTTTTATGAAACTTTACTGATCGCCCATGCACGCACGAGTTCGTGCTGACAGCAAATATTCCGGCCCGTACCCGCGGACTTAGGCAGGAGCCCATACATACATAAAACTTACTGGGAGCACTAGATTGCACTATTTCACGCGCCTGCTTGCAAGAATCCCCATGAAGAGTAAGTAGGAAAGCATAAAGACCCACATAGACAGTACTTAAGTATTGTCCGATTTTAAAAATTGTTGTTTAGGAGAAATGAATGAAAAAATAAAATAAAATTATAAGCGTTTGCCACGTTGTGCGCCCAACCGAAATCGGCACCAAACTGTTACTTATCGGGGGAACTTCGTGTAGGTTGGTGCCAATATCTGCCCGCGCCAATTGAAAACTCTTTTAGGTTCAAGGAATCGAGAAACCTTAACTCGTCAACATTTGTTCCCATGGTGATCGGTTTTGCTTTCTGTACTGACTGAAGAAACCCGCTCAAACACAAAAGTCCTGAGTTCAAACATGAAAAAAACAGCCGGCTATGGACAAGAGGTTGTAAGACTACAAACAAGTAACTCCCGTTTGAATGTGGTGCTTTTAAAGTCGCAATTTCGTAACGTTTTCTATTTATCCTAAGTATATTTTAGTGGGTTTCCCACATGGCNGTTCGTGCTGACAGCAAATATTCCGGCCCGTACCCGCGGACTTACGCAGGAGCCCATACATACATAAAACTTACTGGGAGCACTAGATTGCACTATTTCACGCTCCTGCTTGCAAGAATCCCCATGAAGAGTGAGTAGGAAAGCATAAAGACCCACATAGACAGTACTTAAGTATTGTCCGATTTTAAAAATTGTAAGCCGTTTGATATGTTTTACCAGGATGAACCACTGTGCCATGTTTAGGAGAAATGAATGAAAAAAAAATTAAATTATAAGCGTTTGCCACGTTGTGCGCCGACCCGAAATCGGCACCAAACTGTTACTTATTGGGTGAACTTCGCGTAGGTTGGTGTCAGTATCTGCCCGCGCCAATTGAAATCTTTTTTAGGTTCAAGGAATCTAGAAACCTTAACTTGTCAACATTTGTTCTCATGGTGATCGGTTTTACTTTCTGTACTGACTGAAGAAACCCGCTCAAACACAAAAGTCTTGAGTTCAAACTTGAATCAAAAAAACAGCCGGCTATGGGCAAGAGTTTGTAAGACTACAAAAAAATAACTCCCTTTTGAATGTGGTGCTTTTAAAGTCGCAACTTTGTAACGTTTTCTATTTATCCTAAGTATCTTTTAGTGTCTTTCCCACAGGGTNGAATACTCTCTTTAGAGATTAGTCGCACAATTTTTTGCAGGGAAGTTTATGTGCATTTGAAAACAAAAATTTTAAATATTTANCTAAGGGCCGTTTTCTCAAGTATCCTGTAACTTTAAAGTTCACTTTATATTTAAAGGTTACATTAAAATTTGAGATTGTGCCTAAAGTAGAGCATTTTATTACCCGTTTTAAATTGGTTTACAACCAAGAAAGATACATACGTCATAAACTGATAATAGAAATGCTTAACTTTAGACATAGCTTTACTTTTAATCCAACCTTTAAATATAAAGTAAGCTTTAAAGTTAAAGGTTACATCAGAAAACGGCCCTAAGTAGTTAGCAGCGGCATGCATATGTATGTATGTATAGGTGAATGTATGTGCGGGTGTGTGCATGTAGGCTACAAACTTAACCAATTAAAGAAGGCTGACAATTTAATAGCGATGACAGTTAAATAATTCGTACTAAGTAGGGTAGCGAGTAGCAGAATAAATAAAAATGTGCTGAAGTGCACTGCATGAAATTACTTAGAAATGATTATGTGTGTATGTATGTATATACATAACTAGTGTTNGCTCCGAAAGTCTCGAGTGGTAGTCTTCCAATAATTCGAGGGCACGATGTGCTTCTGCAATAATAAAGAAATCAAGGTGAGAGATTTAAAACTGCAGACTAAATAGTTAGCAGCGGCATGCATATGTATGTATAGGTGAATGTATGTGCGGGTGTGTGCATGTAGGCTACAAGCTTAACCAATTAAAGAAGGCTGAAAATTTAATAGCGATGACAGTTAAATAATTCGTACTAAGTTGAGTAGCGAGTAGCAGAATAAATAAAAATGTGCTGAAGTGCATATAGCGACCTGCATGAAATTACTTAGAAATGCTTATGTATTTATGTATGTATATACATAACTAGTATTTGTAGTAAGTTTATGTGCATTTGAAAACAAAAATTTTAAATATTTAGTGTTCTTTTTCTCTCTAAAAGAAAGTCAGTTTGGCATACTTTGTATATCGGCATAACGTTCGTCTAACGTCATTTCCGGCGTGGTCGCCTCAATTTGACTGGCTTGTCCAAATATTGTAGACCAATAGCCACGCGTATCATCGTCACCGCCGCTATCGCCGCCAACTGCACCCTCTACATCCATGTCACCTTCTTCATCCACATCCATAGCTGTCGTCGCTTCAGCAAACTCGGCGCGCGTCACTGTAATTGACACCGTATCGGCAACAGCTTCTGCTGCCTCCGCCACTTCAGCTTCCATAGCTTCATTATAACTCTCTTCTGCACGCATTACCGAGTCGATTGTATATTGTCTGCCCTCCGACGTTTGGCCATAGATGCGTTCACGTTCGATCGACTCGATCATCGATTTGAATCGATTCAATTCGAAACGTAAACTCTCCGACATATTCGTCAATTGTGTACTGTATGGCTTCGAAAATGAACGTTGTCTTATTCTATTGCTTACGCTATTCGTATACGTTTCGTTTTCATCACGCGAAACATCCGATTCGGACTTTTCAAAGTAACCGGACTCGATGTCCGGTGTTTTAAGGCCACTACTCAAGAGATGTCCGTACTCGAGCAAATCCTGCGCAGAGTAGTAACACTCAATGGATTCGCGCACACGGTCGCGCCAATTTTCTTCGTCCGCCAAGGCGGTTGCGGCAGTTGCGGCTGTGTTGTTGATGCTGTTGGTGTTGCGTGCGTCTTCTGGTTCGCTTTTTGTATCTAAACATTGCGCGGTCGAATCTACGCCGTTGACCTGGTCGACGAAATTTTTGCGCCTACCGTCGTCGTCGCTATCGCCGTTGTTGGCGCTAAAGTCGTCATTGAGGCTGGCACCAGGGTCCGATTTGGGAGCTGGCCGTTTGCTCGATTGCTGTTCGTTATTTTCAGCCTTTGCGTTGACTTCTTCGTCTGTTGTAGATTTCTCTTGCACCACTTCAATGGCAGTTGTAATACCTGCAACCGATTCTTTTTCTAATTTATTGTTGGCAGCACAGTCGGGTGGCTCTTCTAACAACGCAGTGTGTTCTTTGCAATTCGCATGGATTTCTACGTACACTTGTACGGCATCGCTTAAAACGTTTGACGAATTGGTGATTGCGTTTGAATTTGTGGTTTTTGCCTCCACAGTATATTCTAAGCTCTTAAATGGTTCTTCAACGTCTTCTTCCTCAGAGCTGTCACCCAAATTTCCGCTTATTTTTATTACTTTCACTGTGTGCACTTCAATTGGTGGATTAGGTTTCGCGTTATCAGTCTCGTCAACGACTAGCTCGAAAGTCGGTTTCACGTGCTCTTCTTGACATTCGTCGGTCGAGTATTTTTTTAGAGTCAGCGGTACTTTCTCTTCGTCCTCTTCAGACAAGTCCTTAACTGCCTGTTTGGCACTTTTATTGTTGTTTCTCAATTTACTTGATTTGAGTGGCGTTTTCTCTACACTTTCTACGCGTGAATGTTGCACTCGTCTTCTTACACGTTGCTTACTCCGCGAACGTCTATTACACTTGACCTTTTTCGTATCTGTAACTAAGAGACAAGCTCTTTCACCGCGCCCATCACCATCGTCGTCATCATCACCTTCGTCGTCATCATCACCATCGTCGTTTGCATCACTATCAACATAATCTTCGACATCACTTACGGCGCCGCAGTCAATGTCTCGCATATCCCCAATATCCTCCCCGTATTCCGGTTCCGAGGAATCAACGTCATCGCCTTCGTCGCCATCATGAAATGTGCGATTATCGCTACTCTCTATCAGATTGGGATCACTACTTCGCTCGCGTTCACTGTCAGTGTCCATGTTCGGTCCGTAAACGTGTTTTGTTTTTGGTAAACACAGTAAATTTGCAAAAAGTTTGAAATAGTTAATAAACTATGCGTATGTAGAGTTCATGATGCACTGCCAAAACATTTCTTGAGTTAAATATAGGATTTTGTATATATTTTATATAAATATTTTTTTAGAGTACCGCGAAAATGCTTTTCGAGAACGTCTTGTCACAAAACCACGTCTTTGACTAAGCGCTAAATTCCATGGAAGACTTACAAAACGCCCTACAATTACGCATTGTCGACGAGCAAAATGCTATCTCCCATGAGTGAGTGTAGAAGCGAATTCGGTTTTTACATGTCTGTATGCCTGTGTGCCATGTTAAGCAATGTAGAATTCTGCTTAAGCGGCTGGAGGGTGTAAGTGAAAAAAATAAAATATAAAATATTGCAAAACAGTCAACTAGAAGCTGTGTGGCACACACACAAATTTTACAAGCAAAAACAATCAATATTGATCGATGAAAATTATGGTTTTGAGCCGAGTTTTAAATGTCTGTATAGTTTCATGTACGACTGTATGCGGCCTTACGCCTATGTACATATGTATATAAATAGGTATGTATGTATGTTTCTTTGTACATATGTACATGTCATTACCGGTCTGTGTATGTCAACTGAAGGAAGGTCATTGTTTCCGCTTCCATTAAGCTTTTGTAAATGGAGAGAAAGTGAAATGCAAAATTTGTTACACAACAGAATACACAAGAAAAAAAAAACGAATACAGAAAGTAATCGTAATGCAAAATATGTTAAGTGAAAACAATTCAAGGAATGCGCACATATGTTTGTATGTGTGTACATATCGCACCTTAAATCAAAAACCGTCACAACTCAAAAACTTCCAAAAATTCAGGAGCGGCCAAAACCATTTATGCGGGGCCAGCAAAGCAAGCAGTTGGAGAAGAGAGTGACGAAGAGCTGTTTCATAGAAAAAATTAATTTTGAAAAATTTTGAGTTGTGTCGTTTTTTGATTTAGGGTGCGATATGTACTTGTGTATGTATGTGTACGGAAGGGAAGTTTAATGGATTGTGGAAAGAAAGAAAAATAACCATTCCTAGTACGAGTAAATGTGAGTTCACTACATACACAATATGTATACAGTGGCGGCCACATAATTAGGGACACTACTTCTTTACAAGCATTTTGATTTTTTCTTACAAAAATATTGTTTATACTAGAGATGGGTAAATTCGATATTCGAAGCTTCGAGATTTGAATTTTAATCGAACTTTAGCTCCAAAATAGCAATATTTTAAATCGAACTTTGTGGTGCTAAAATTCGGATAAAATCGCACTTTTCTTGAAGTAATCAAATTTCGTCGTTATTTGCAAAACAGCAATCCCCAAAATCAAAATCGAACTTTGTGGTGCTAAAATTCGGATAAAATCGCGTTTTTTCTAGAAGTAAAAATTTCGTCAACTAATCGCATTATACGTCTCAGAAAACTATTTTCTATACACATTTTGCAAATTTTTTTAGTTAATACTTAAAAAAAATATAAGACACATTTAATATATTTTTGGAGTTTTCCTAATAAATATTTTTTCACGTCGCGGCGAATTTTATTTGTTTTGTTATAACTTTTAAATTTGCAGTAAAAAAAAATGTAAAAAATTGGAATAAAGTGAATTTGTACCACCGAATTTCGAGTCGAATAATTTAATGGTTGGGAAATGTTCGAAATTCGGAAAAAATCAAATTTCAACCCCCATGTGACCATGTAACTCAACTCTTTTTTGATGCTGACAGTGTTACGCATTTTTTTTTACATACATACAAAGTATGTTCGAGATTTTTTTTTGTTCATGGCCGCTTGAAACTTTCACAGTATTTGACTTAAATTGAATGAGCTACCAAACTGCATACTTTAATTTTTTCTAGAAATTCCGATTAAAAAGTTGGAAAATTTAATGACCGTTTTCTTGAAATTTGGCGAATTTTTATAAATTTCGTACAAGGTTTGAAACTGTGAATTTCGTGTTTTTCATTGTGGTATAACTTTATTTTTGTAAAAGAAATAAATTAAAAATAATTAAATGGTCAAAGCAAGTAATAAAGTAGTGACCCTAATTATGTGGCCACCACTGTACGTAGATAAGTAAATGATCACGTACTTGACAGCTTTTTCAAGCGAGTATGGCCATAAGCATTTTTGGTGCTCTTACTACTCATGAACCTTCCTGAGACTCATTTAAAAATGATAAAAAGACCTGTTCCAACAGGAGTAAGTTGGTTAAATTATCCAGCAAAAAGTTACTCACATAATTTTACATTGTAAAATAGTAAAAAGAATACAATTTGTTAAATGCCCTTGCCTACTTGACAGCTTTTTTAAGCGAGTTTGGCCGTAAGCATTTTTGGTGCTCTTACTACTCATGAACCTTCCTGAGACTCATTTAAAAATGATAAAAAGACCTGTTCCAACAGGAGTAAGTTGGTTAAATTATCCAGCAAAAAGTTACTCACATAATTTTACATTGTAAAATAGTAAAAAGAATACAATTTGTTAAATGCCCTTGCCTACTTGACAGCTTTTTTAAGCGAGTTTGGCCGTAAGCATTTTTGGTGCTCTTACTACTCATGAACCTTCCTGAGACTCATTTAAAAATGATAAAAAGACCTGTTCCAACAGGAGTAAGTTGGTTAAATTATCCAGCAAAAAGTTACTCACATAATTTTACATTGTAAAATAGTAAAAAGAATACAATTTGTTAAATGCCCTTGCAAAAAAGACTGTAGACTTATGCGTGTACGGTGATTTTTTTTTGTTTTTTTGCTTAGGAAGTGGTATGGTAAGCAATTGCTTTAAATTGTACAAAAAGTTGCTCATACGCCATGTAGGTTGGGCTTGGTTTAGTGCTAAACGCCGCTTAAAACCATTTATGAATGAAAGTGGCAACCCTACTTAAACCATTAATCAGTCAGCTCTTTTAATTTTTTTTCCTGTTGCATTGATGATGGCGATATGTACCATACATAACGCTCGTTTCGAATAAAAAACTGTATATTACCGCGAAGAAATTGCGTTTCGCAGTATTTCCATTTAAAAATAAATGCATTTTTTTACAGTTATCAAATAAAATAAAGCTTGTACACAAGCTTGTAAACATTAAACAACCGAAAGGGAAACACTCAAAACCGGTCAAGATGTCCCCGTGTATTAAAAAATGTACGCAACAAAAAGGTATAAATGTTGTATTTTTTTGAAAAAAAAACCGTAGTATTAATTTTTGGATTCCAAAAACGTATTATTAAAAGCATTGATACGAACGTTAACCATACATGTACATAAAAAATTCTAATTTTCTTTGTAGGTAAGAGAACGGCAGTATTGATTACAAATAGTGTGTAGTAATCAGATTAAAATTAGTTGAAGAAATCGCCAGGTAAATGGAAAAATTTCGAAAAAACTCGAAATTTTTTTTTACCATATTTTCCATACAAAATCAAAAGTTTAAGGGTACGTTCACACAGAAAATGGGACCGAGCCAAGCGAAGACGTTCCGAGCTGAGTGAAGCTTTCAAATTACTGTGGCTATATGAAAGTTTTCATACAGCAAGCTTTTCAGAAACGTCTTGGGACTGAAAGCAAATCAATTTTTGCATTTGAAATTTTCTATTTAATTTTTCAGCTTCATGACGCTACTGCAAACGATGTATCAAAATATTCAAACAAAAACGAATTTTACAAGTAATCTTTTGTATTGTATTTGTTTGTGGAATTTTTCTAGCCGAGTCCATTAGAAAAGCTCCGCTTCCCTTCATTCAGTTGCTTCGCTCGGCGCCGCTCGGCAACAAGCTTTTCAGGCGTTCCTCGCTTTTCAGGTTTTCAGCAATAGCTGAATTGTATAGCTGAAAGCCTAAAAGCTTGTTGTGCTGTTGTACTCTAACTCATGAGTTCAGAGATATAAGCCAATTCGACTCAACTTCTGTACGAGAATTAACTTTAACATGGATCAGAGATGGTGGAGCAATTGATAAGTATTAAAGTTCATCTGTTATTTTAAATTTGACAAAGTGGAAAGCTATTTTTAATGAAGCGTTAAAATGTTAATCTTTTTCTACTTTTTTTTTAATCATTGACAATGGCAGCCTTTCAAGCCTTGGAGTAAAGATTCATACATTTATATTAAATATTATCAGCTAATTAGTCTGTACATGTAAATACTTAAAATATGTATATACATGTATCCATATGAAAAATTATGTACAAATGTATGTATGTACATTAGACTGAATCACTCCCTATACAAAAAAAATCGGTACTGTGTTTCCATTGGAATTATAAAATCTATTATATTTTAAGACGTCCACCCAAATATTTCGGAAAACATATTAAGATTTATGTGAGCTGGACCGATTTGAAAATACCTCCAAAAATGGAGTTTTTATGAATAAAAACAGTTTCTTAAAGATTTTTATTTCAAAAATTCACCCTCAAATGACAAAACGGTTTAAGCTTAAAAAATTAGACTTTTGGTGCTTTTTTTTAACTTTTTTCAAATATTGCTATAAAAAAAATTGAATAATTGAATCTAAACTCTTTCGATTTATACTTGTGAGGTATCATTGGAAAGGTATTTTCTCACCCTTTTTATTTCTTGGGTAATAAACTCATTCAAGGTATGAAAGAGAAAGGTAGGATGAACGAACGTCATTTAAAGTTGAATTAAGATGTGCTCGTATTTGAAAAAAAGGGACACGAATGACTTTTTTTTTTGGACAGAAACAAAAACAGTGTGGAAATACCTTTCTACTGAGATCCCATAAGTCTAAATCAGAATAGGTTTTGTCCATTTATTCAAACTTTTCGTGAATCAATCTTTGAAAAAAAGTAAAAAAAAACAGCATCAAAAATCGTATTATTACGATTCCGTCGAACAGGTTTTTAAATATTTTTATACAGATTTTTTAAACGTAATCTATTTTGTAATCTGAAGGGACTTTTTTCTTTAAGAAACTATTTTTAATTTATAAAAATGGTGTTTTTAAATCGGTCCAGCTCACGTAAATCTTAATTTTTTAAATATTTTGGTGGAAGTCTTAAAATATAATAGATTTTGTAATCCCGGCAGAAAAAGCGCAACTTTTTTTTGGTGATGCAGCCTAATGTACATACATACACTTATTAATGTATGTATGCGCATAAGTAGTGTTAAACTGCCTTATCGCTATTTTCACACTCTTCGAAAAAATGCATAAATTTATGTAATTGCCCCGTTTAAGTCTTACAGCGTAGCAAAAGTTCATATTTCAATATGCAAATTATTTGCGAGCCTACCAATCGACTACCAGCAAGCTATAGTCTATAGGGTGTGCTCTCTCTCTCTCTCACACAACTTCATATACTACATGCCTGCATGTATTACGAGTATTAACGCCCAACAATTAGCACCGGGTGATTTGCACGCGATGAATAAACATTGACCAGTTTTTAACCACACAACTCAGTTGTGAAACGGATATTGTATCCATTATGCCAGACAT